CCTGCTGCTCTTTTTCTTGCTTTGTATGCTGGAGGAAGAGCAGTTGCTGTGGTCAGGGCAGGGAGGCAAGGATAGCACCACCAGATTTCATTGGAGTCCTAGCCTCTTCAGACTGCAGTCAGAAAAAGGGAACAGCCCCAGCCTCACTGCTTTCTTCCGTGAAAAAGGAGAACTGGGAAGTGAAGATGGGAACCACTCAGCTCATTTATGAACATCACAAAATCTGCTGGGGGCAAACCAGAGAAGCCCCCCTCTCAAAACCTGCGAAACATTAGCTAATCCACCCCATTTCCCAGTTCCTCCCATCCCGCTCCAAGTTTGTCCTACTCTCAGCAGAACACAGAGGCTTTTCTTAGCAGGCAAGCAGAACAAGAGAAATTATTCTTGGAGTTTCCAAATCTCCAAACTTTCTAGAGATTTGATGAATGACACCAGAATTGGACAGAAATCCATGCAGGACGAGACTGAGTGGCTGTAGGTGGAGACCGTCTCCTATAGACCCCCTTTCCAGCTGAAGCCTCAGCTTTGCACTGCCAATTGGAGAGAGAGCATCACACTTCTTCATAGTGCCTTATCAAGTCTTGTGCTGTCAAAATAACAGCTTCTACAAAAGTAACATTTGCCTGAATATCTTTGAGTGTTCATCTCTCTAAAAAATTGACAAAAAGCTCATAATCCTAACACAAGGAAATGTTGATAACAGTTTGTTTCATTTTACACAGCAGGTACTGTTCAATTAGAGCATACTTCTTGCCACAGCACATATTTTATCGTATCTGAACCTGTATAAATATTTGTAAGCATATTTACTCAATATTTTCTCTATTGCTCAGAGGTTTCTAAATTTGCCAGTCATTTTAATTTAAAACTCTCTTAATTAGAGACTGGTTGTCAAATGGATGTTCTTAAGATTACAGTGGAGACAGAGAGCATAACAGGAGCACAGCAACTAGCGTTAGTGGGAAGACTTGCGTTAATAGGATAAAAATGTAGTATTTTAAATGATCGGTGAGAGGAAAATGAGCATCATCAAATCCTTGGATTCATCTAACACAAACAGAGGGCACTCACTTTTGACTCCGAAAGCCAGAATTTTGTCTAATTATTAAGACGCTTCTGCACACAGTACTGAACACAATGCTTCAGGAAGAGCTTTTAATAACATCTTAGTAAAGTAGGTATTCAAAACTGCCCTTCCATTTCTCCCATGTGCACAGAAACATCCCCGCTCCTGTCACTGACTGGCAGCCTGGAAAGAGCCAGTTCCAACATAGCAACGAAAGCCCGATTTTGTGCTGTGAAAAATGGCATTCTTCAAAACACCCAGTGCTTTCTGACATAACAAGGCTATACTACTAAACTGTTCAAATATACACTACAACTAGAAGGAAAAAAGTTTTAATCTGCTTCAAGACTCTCATAAGGAATGCATAGTATCAATACAGGTGATCCACATCACTATTCCTGTAATATCCAAATGCCTTGCAAACATTTGCATCCTCTAAGGTCAAGCGAGCACTACCTGTGACATTTTGATGCTTTCTTTTGGTAGCAGCTCAGGTTACACTTAGATATGGGTAAATAACAATTTTTTAACCGAGCATGACCCTTTCCCTAACACCAAGCTGAGCAGAACCCACACTTGAGGGTGCAGGCTAGGTATGTACAGTATATTGCAGCAGACACAGATAATTGAGACACTGGTGAATTTCAGACCAACAAGTTTCAAGATACAGAAAAATTTAAGAGTGACAGGACTTGTTTAGCCTTACAACAAAAGTTCAAAAGGTTATTGTTATCAGTAAGTGCACAGAGGAAGGGGGGAAAGGAGGAAGGGGTAATCACAGTGAATAAGAAAAGCTAAAAGAACAATGCCAGCACACATAAAAATGTATAAACTAACCACAAATAAATTTAGGGTGGAAATTGGAAGTTTTCTAACCATGAAACAGTGAATCTGATCAGAGCTGTGGGGTCAATGCATCCATCTATTCTGCTGGGGCTCAATAAATTTATTATAGGATCATCTAACACACTTCTGCAAAGATAGCCTCTGGGTCCAATCCCCTGCTATGTCCGTGCTGCTAAACACAGACAGGGCCAGGGACTGACCCTTGGCCCCGAGGCCAACTGGCACGGACTGGCTCATGTTCATCTCACTCAGGGCTCCATCAGCATTACATAGCACTTGGCCCTGGGTTTCCTCAAGGCTCCACATCTCAGGAGTCCCATGGCACCATATACTTATTTTGTATGTCTCAGTTCAAAGTGCATGAAGAAGTGAGATGACTTTTTTGCAGCCCACCAGAGTGGTATTTTCACAACATGAAACAGAGTATGCCTTGCATATCCCCCAGTATGGCCTGAGGGAGCGAAGAGGGTTAAGCATACCATCTCAGCAGGCTTTGCATTATAGGTCTATACAGTATGACAGTTTTCTTGCAGCCTTTTTAACACCCGGCCCTCCAGAGCAGCCTTTGAGCAAGCCACTCGCAGAGCAATACTCAGGCTTTGCTCTGGAGAAAGCTAGTCAGAGTGGTCCAAAACAGATGGAAGTGAGCTAATGTTTATGTCTAATCTACAACAGTACACAAAACCAGGAGGTCAACATTCAGATCCACCCCCAGCCCTTTTCTGTAGCACTGCAGATGCATGAAGTAGCTCTAGAAGACATCTTCTAAGTTAGTGTGGTGGTACATGCACAATTACCATCAGCTTTACCTAATAAGCTACATTGCAGCTCTAGTGATGAAGGTGCATTCCCATGATAAGCTAATGGAGCACACAGTAAGATTGTACCATCTCTGAACAAGCTAGTCAGGAAAAAGCAAGGATAAAAAGTTCCATTTACACAAATGCTGTGATGATTAGCAAAAGCGGAAAGGAAAACATGACAGTTTAATGAGATTTTAGCAGCAATTCTATGTGTCTCTTTGCATCTACCAGAATTTTTTAAAGCAGATTTTTTTTTTTAATATATACTTGTCTGGTCTGTCAACTGTGCTATCAAGATTAATAAGAAACTGCTAGAGTTTAAATGATCTGTGAATTACAAAATAGGTCGTTTATTCATCACAGCAGACACTTTATGTTACAAAGTTGTGATTTTTTTTAATGAGGTGAAGACTAAGATTCTTGGGGGGAAGGGCAGTAGTTAGACCAGCTCCTAGAAATGAGCTCATCTCTCCAGGCTGTTAGATTGGTTAGTGCATTTTTTAAACACCATGTATTAGAGATTTTTACTTTACTCCAAATCTTTTGGAGCCAGAGTTAACTAAGAAAAAAAAAATTTTCAGGTCATCTTGTACAAAGATTCCAAACAAATTCATACAGCATTTTTAGTTTAAATTGGTCAGCTTAGATTTGAGTGCCTGGAACATGCTCAGGTCCCAGAGATCACCCACACTGATCTTAGTTCAGAACTGAGACCTTACAGCAGCATAAATATTCAACCAAAATCAATATTCTGTTTTCAGTACTTTGTATTTCATCAATGGGCTAACACTTGTTTCCTCACCCTATAAACAAAGAGCAGTCTACCAAGTTGTACCATTATGGTACTGTCATTATATGTAAAACCAGTGCTTCTGTGCTTTAGAGCAGACAAAATTTGGCAGGAGCTGGCCCTAGTATTGGGAATACATCTCTTATGAAAAATAATATGAAACTGTCTCAAGCTTAGAGGTTTTATAATAAATTGGTAAAGTGAACAAGGACAAAGTACCGGGGTTTTAAGAACTCAAATATGAAACTGATGAATTATGCGCTGAAGCACTGCATATCATCTTTCACTTCAACGCTACGGGAAACCAGAAAAATGTAATGCCAGTTTTTAGAGGGAGCTCTGGGTGAACATGAAACAGCAAAACTCATACAAGTCTAATTTTTGTATTAGACCAATTGTTAGAAGTTACAAGTAAAAAAACAGAATTAGTAGGCAGAGATAAATACTGTACACTGGAAAAGAGTCGCTATCTTTTTGCAAAAGCTGAACACTGGTCCTCATTTCCCCCCACCCATGCAGAGGGAAGGGAGAATGTCTGAGGGCTCTTGTTCAGTTTTGTGGTTCTTCCCCCTGCCACTCCTGAGCCCAGGACGGGCTTAGATGCAGCACAGGATGAAGGAGCTCCTAATACCCATTTTTCATGTGCCCGTGGCTTCTGCTGCATTGGTCTCACCCACAGAGGCGCAGGAGCTGGTGTGGAAGCAGAAAGACGAAGAAGGTGGATTTAAGAGAGCATACACTCCTCCCTTCCTTATCAGTCCTAACCACCGTTCCTCCCCAACATCAGCTATTGCAGACCACAAGGCAGCTCTCAACTCCACGTCCATGCCCAGCACTCATGGCATTAAGCCTGAGGCAGCCCAGCAAGCTGTCTCCTTGGTTCTGCAAACCACACCTGGCCCAGAGGAGTAAATGTACAGCCCTGTTGATAGGTGCACCAAGATTCATAGAGGACCCTTCAAAGCAGGCTTGCAGAGGCCAAACTACACCTGCTGCAAACACAAAGACATGATCTGAAGCAGCACTCAGCCACATTTACCATGAAACCACCCCTGCTCTTCACTCCTTTTGCCTATTTAGTAAATGTGAATCAAATCAGAGGCTGAAATAAACAATGACAGTCACCTCACCCATAGCAGGGTAGATCCACTGCACACCAGATTAGGCAAAAATGGCATGGAATGACAGAATGCAATCACATACTTCAAGACAAACAAAATTCAGCTCCTTTATAATATGTATTGCCTATGCCATCAACACCTGAACACTGGAATTGCCCACAACCACTGGAGTTTACAGTTTTGATACCTGCATTTTAGACCCAATTATTTTTTTTGCATATACATGCTCTCTGTAATTTCTGTGGAGATGAACACACACACACACACAGAAGCAGGAATCATCTGCATATACTGCAACTGTGTGCTAATGAACCGCCTTATATTTACAAGTTTTCACTACACAGTCCAAAATGGCTAATCATTTATGAACATACTTCACCAGGAATTCAGTCCTTCATAAAGACTGTTTTCATTTATTTTCAGAGCTGTGATTTTTATCCTGATGTATCACATATGGGCACATTAACCAAATCAGGTAAGTGGAAGAAAAACTGATCGGTATTTTACCAGCTGAACTTTCACATATACAGACATCACAAGTCTGTCAACCACAAGAAGCCTTACCATAAGGATATTTTGTGTCTAGTCTATGTGCTGCTGTTCTTGTCCAGGGTAGTACATCATCACTGCAGCCATTAGGCATCCCGTTGTATCCAATTCCAACAATCTTGTTTTCTGAATTTACAATGCAGGCACCAACCTAAATAAAATCAGATTTATATAGTACCAACGGCATGCAAAACGATGTATCAACAAGAAAGATGAGACCTGAAAAGTCAGTCCTACAATTTTCATTTAAGAGATACGAGCTTCACTTTATATTAAAAGTCACACCATCTAGTGACCAAGGCTACAATCGTACCTAACTGGTGGAGCTTTAAAATAAATCAGGGCAGATGCAACCCTGCCACCCCTCTGGTCATGCAGTCCCTACCCTAGCCTGCCAGCACTGCTCCTTGTCCTGTGAAGTGAACCTAGTTCAGGGAGCAGAACTGGCACTGAACTAACCCTACTAAACATAAGTTTTCTGTCAGTTCAACTCCCCAAACTAGCTTTTCCAGCAGCAGTACGAGCAGCAGCAGCAAAAGAAAAGGTATGGAAGATGGAACAGAAATACAGTATGTTGACCTAGCCATGGACAGGCTCACAAATCTTTGTGGCTTGTTTATGCAAATGTGCACCAAAATACCAGACCTTTTAACTCCCACACTTTATTACTTTAATCAAAGTCTGCACAGTCTGGACCCTTCTTATAGAATGATGAAGTGTCCCATTTTTATGTTTTCTGTCCATATTTTAGATTCATTGACATGGCAATAGTACTGATTTTAATTCACACAATGTGTTTATCAACCAGCTCCTGGGTAACAAAAATCTAGCCCTAAGTGAATAACCTTCAGAGAACTAAGAGCCATAATGGACAGAAGCCAGCGAGTGATTGAGCAGACTGTTAACATGCATTTTACTCCATGGATTTGCTGGGATTTGCTTCCTGAACTTTTTTACACAAAGGAAGGCGAACAGGACAACTAGGTCCTGCAGAACAGCATGTTTCAGGAGATGTATCAATTGCCTCAAACCAATATTCAACAGAGGCACATGAAAGAAGCAAAGAATGGAGACAGACAGTGAAGCAGAGGCAGAAGGGGAACCTGAGGGAGGAATCAAACTAGAAGAAAACTCCAGTCAATCCAAGAACAAACAAAAAGGAATTTTTTATACCCTTACAGGTGAGGAAAAGGAACTTGTAAAATGCTGTGTCTTAAAAAATTACAATCTAAAACTTTCAGTAGTTATATCCTCCTCTAACAGTAACTATATTTACTGGAAAAAGGAGAGAAAATGCTTGTGTTATTTTAACCTCTAGATGAAAAGATTTACAAAACTCCAAGCCACAAATGTACACACAGAATTATACACGAGGTCAGGCCCAATAAGAGAATTTCTGTAACAAAAGGTGCTGACCATGTTAAAAAATGAATAGCTATATACTGAAATAACTTTTAATAAGAAATCCCTGAAAGTGCTACATGTGCATCTGATACGATGTGCAATATAGATTAGGTTATGTTATTCTTATACATTGCCTTCTTACCTGAGAACTTGGATCCTTGCTTCTTTGTGCTGACAAAAAAGCTACTGCCATAAAATATTCAGGCCATTCCAAATAATCCTCTCGTTTTTTGCAGGATGCTTCATTTCCGAAACTATAGTTCATGGAAAAAAACAGCCATCAGCAAATAACACATAGCTAGAGTTATTACAAATTGTATTCTTTTAATGTGCACAAGTTTAAAGTAACCAGGATCAGAATCTGGCTAAGAAGGCTGCACATTCACTAATATTTTAACAGTAAAACCATCAGCGTTACGTGCTTTCCAGGAACATATATATGCAACATTTCCTTTCAGGGGAAAGGCACCCAAGCGAGGTTGCAAATTTCGGTTTTAGATAAGAAGGCTGAGCTATTCAGAGCACTGAGCTATTCAAAGACAGAGCAATTTATCCTTTATAGATAACACCTTGTATATTTCTAAGATTCAGGTATATCATGTACTGGCATTCTTTTCACCCAAACAACATAATCTTTTTTATGATGACTGCACTAACTGCAAGCCTCTAATCTAAGCTATTTTGTACTGCTGTACAAGTGCTCGCTAGATTTCTATTTGGTAGCTTCCTGTGCAGTCATTCGTTTCTGCCCGCACAGTTATTGCCATGAGTTTGCCTCTTGTTACAACGCTTACCAGCAAAAGACTGAGGCTGTGAGCCATTCTAATAGGCCCCTGCTAAGTTTCTCTTGAGATTATGTCCTATGAAAGCCTTCTAAAAACTGAGAGGAGATGGGTTCCAGAACTTTTCCCTTAGATATAATGTACAGAATTGACACAAAAGGTTGCTTCTTTCCCTGCACTGGGGGGTTTATTTGAGGGAAGGAGGGAGGAAAAAAAAAAAAGTGATGCATCATTTTCTCTTGCCTGCTTATGGTTGAAAGACTGCTTGGACAGCGTAAGATGCAACAGGGGAATTTCTGTGCTTTTCAGCTCAGAGAGAGGAAAGACAGACATCTCTCTCTCCCCCCTCCTTCCCCCCCCAACATTTTGCAAATTTTAAGGAAAAGATCAAATTAAAAGAAATTTCCCCGAACTCTCACCTATCAGTGCTACACTTGAAAACCAAAACAATGGAACATCTCGAATACAATAATTATCCTGTCAAAATACTAGGGGCACAGTACTTTTCTTCTTGGGCTCCTTTTACCAAGGACTACAGCTCAAGACTGAGATACCCTTCTAGCAATGTATAGCCACGCAGAAAAATACATCATAGGTAACTGCAAGCAGCAAGACATCTCCTAGCAACTCTAGTACCAGCACTTTCTGAAGACAAACAAACGTTACAAGACAATTATTTTGTTAATTATTATTTTTATAACCAAAACCATAAAATAGCATATATTAGAGGCTTGCAGATAGCTTGTCATAAAGAGGTTACACTCAGTGAAGACAATGCCAGCACACAATAAAACTGTACTTTAGAAACCTACAGGGTGCTATTTACCAAAGATGAATTGCTGGTTTTGAATAGTTCATATATGGCACATCACAAGTTAGCAATTTTGGCTTGTTCTTTGATAGAAAGAGGATCATCTCCAAGGCCACTGCCTCAACGTAAGGAGGGAGAAACATACACTCTTGGTGTAACCAGCATATCTCTCTCTCACTTTGACAATATTGTGAATAGTGCCCAGAAGTGTCAATTGTCAAAGCAAACACAAAAATCAAGTATGTGATTCTAGGAGTGCCCAAACTGGTTTGAATCATCGTAACTAAAAGGTTGGGGCTGTATCCTACTAACAAAAAAAGTGTTCAGAGAAGTGTTCAAAGAAGCTCACAGCAGAAAGAAGAAATTAAAGACATGCCCTCACACCTCTCCATGCCAAACTGAAATTTGACAGGTTAACTGAAATGCCAAGAAAGTGCTTCAGCTAATTTGAGTGATTATTTAAAATATCTCACAAAAGCAGATTTACAAAATCCAAAACACTATCAAGACTTCAAATGATCAGTTTAATACATTCCCAACTACGTGACATTCGCCGTGATGTCTTCGGAAAGGCACATAACACACAATGCAGAACTACACTGAATAAAACATTCTGGGGAAAGGGCTCCAGAAAGACAATAATACTCCAAACTAAGAGATCGTGAGATCTCCTTTTGTTAAATTATACCCTAGCGACCCTATTTATTCAAAACAGACCAAAAGCTACTATTTACTTTTCTCATAAATACAGAACTGTATGTAAGTGGAGGTCCCTCAGAGTACCAACTTCACAGGGAGAGAAGCATACCTGAAAAATGAGCAGAGAGGAAAACATCTGAAAAATGAGCAGAAGGCTTACATCAAAGAGAACATAATAAAAAAAAACCCTTATTCAATTACTTCTAGTTAACATCACCGAGTTTGGAGAGATAATTCCCTCAACTCAATGCACAGGAACACAAGAGTGTGAAATGGGTATAAAACACTTGACTTCTGATTAAGCAGAAGGCAAGGACTTGGCTAGCAGTCCAGCACACACAGGAAAATTAAGTTTATGGATTTGGGGCAGCTGATCATCCTCCTCATGCTCATTTGTAAGTTCTAGAATTGCATCAATGAAAGCTACTCTAGAAAATATTATAGCTTATCCTTGTGATAACTCATAAGAACTTACGAACAAAAATAATGGGAACTGAAAGCCATAAAGATAACACTGGTCAAGAAGAAAGGGGAAAAAAATATCCTTAAATTCTAGAGTGATTACTAGTCTGTAGAAAAGTCTGCGTAAACAGTATTTCAAAGGAAAACAGAGAAAAAGATTCTGCACTTAGAAGACACTGCCTTCTTCTCAGTTCTTTTTCACCCATCTAGGCTTCAAGTAAGCTGTAACACCATCTGAAAAAGGAAGAAATTTCATTCAGCTGCTAAAAAAAAGTCTACCTTATTGAAAAATTTCATTGAGAATCCTAAAACAGAATACATGACCTCAAATCTTTTCACAGGACAATTATGATGGTCAATTACACAACAATATAGTACAACTGGAAAACTGGTGGGTATCAGACTTTTTTCCCTTCTCCCCTTTTAAGTTTTTCCTCTGCTTTCTTATCTCTGATGTCACGTGCATTATGTTCCAACTGTATTGTAGTAGTTTTTTTCCCCAGTATCAAGTATGTTACCGAAGATCAACGATCAGTATTTCATCACTCAACTCACAGAATTTAATATAAAAAAAGAGGTAAAGCATGTATTAAAAATCAGAATTAAACAACTTCTGCAATGCTCTTGTTCCCCAAAAGCCAAACGGGCTATGTGTTACTGATGACTTTCAATACTAGCTTCGTCTTTAAGTCTCACAATTTTGTTTATGATCACTGTTATGTCAAATGAATGTGGCATTTCCTTTACTTGAGGCTTGTCATCTTTCCCTGCATATAGGTACTGAGATATGGTCATTACCTATTCCTCACTGGGAGGTAAGGTTTTGAGAGAGAGATGGAGAGAAAAATCAACCTTTGTTACAGAAAAACGATACTCTAAGCATTGAAAATTACCTATATTCAAAATTTTCCTGAGAGATAACCCACCAAACCTGTAAATATAAACACCTGCAGAAATACTGAGCCTCAGTTGAGCAGTACAAGAATATTTCCCTTCATTGAACATATTTCGCTTTTACAGCATCACTTCTTTGACTCTAATTAATTGCATATTGCTCATGCCAGTCACCACTTTAGGAAATAAAGAACACAAGATACCCTACCTGCTCTTTTTCCTATCCCAATGATTACAAAAAATAAATAGAACAGGCCGTACCCTCACGACAGGGCCTTCAGAGCCTTCAAGAAACGCCTCCCCGCGGTGACGCGGCGTTTCCCTCCGCACGCCCACAGCCGGCGCTGCCCGGGCCCACGCC